CATAGTGTACAAGAACATGAACTAAAGGAACCCATATAGTAATTCGTTCTTTATATGCTAGATAAAGGAACGGAACGGATGTGAATGGGCATCATTCAGTGAACCTAGTATCTGTCTGCATATTCTTCACCATGAGATTGGAGATGTCTAACTTGCTTTAGTCCTAGAGAGAGAGAGTTATGTTGGACCCACTTTGAGAAAGGAGAGTTTTTCCCTCTTTTTATCATCATTCATGATTTGACTAAGAAATAATCAGTTTGAGATTTCCCCAATAAATGGATGTTAGGGAGCATGAAAAGTAGTATGCTTTAAACCTCTTCGATTTTGTCCATCGTAAATTGATAACTTTCCTTTTTCTGGTTGCAGAACCCAATTAACCCTATAGAATTATATAGAGCAGTGCGGGATTCTCAGCTCATTGGCTTGTCAGGTTATTCTAAAGAGGTAAGTTCACCAAAATCTGGCATTAGGTCTGACTCCGTTCCTGATCTGTTAAGGAAAATAGCTCGAGCTAAAAATAAGTATGTAGGAGCATCTATTCAAGCAGATCATATTTGGTACCTATGATAAAAAAAAAAAATCTTCCCATAGCTAGTCCTACTAAATAGTGCTGGCTACACTGCTTCTTTTGGATCCTACACTGGAGAATTGTTAATCACTTCCATATGAAAACATGTGCGGTAAAAATTTCATTGGATAAAAGCTAATCCTATGTATTTGCTGAATATGCAGGGTTTTCCAGTTATTGCTATGGGTGTTGGGCTCAGTACATATGACAAAGCAAGTGTAAGGACTCTTGATTGTCTCGTCTTTTCAGAAAATAGAGAGAAGACAGATTGATTAAGTGAAGGATTGTCGTTTATTTTAGATTTGCATTTTAGGGTAGTATCACTGTTGAGCACTGCTCAGTTTTATTCTGAAGGTGTAGTTTTTAGTTGTCAATTCATTTGGCCAAAAACTTGGCATCTATGTCAATCCATCAAAACTAAGTGAGTTGCTCATGGATTCTGCATATAAAGATCAGATGTACCTCTGCTTTAGTTAACTGTCAATGTTTGTGGCACTTGCCACCACATGAACTTATCCTCATTAATCACAGATGGGATGCGCACCTATCCTCTGCTAAATGACTTAGCCAATGCTGTTATTTGCTTGTATTATTGTCCTTAATGGCTGAAAGTTATCCCATCTTCCGCTGTTTTAGGTCAATAAATATGTGCAGTCCCACATCCAGATGAATGAATATAGAGATCGAGTAGTGCTGGTATGATCTCTGCATCCTTATGTTCTTTTCGTTGTTTTTTACTGGCCTGTGTAGCTTGATTTGCTGTGCATGTTTTAGCCCCAGGCCACAAAGAAGCATGGGCGATATATTGGCACATGCATTAAGGTTTTGGATATGACTGGTTTGAGGCTTTCAGCACTGAACCAAATTAAGGTAAATTGAGCAATACTACGAATATTCCCATTTGTTTTAAATTCCTTGGTAATGCTCTCATTGTGGCCCTTAGTCTTATTTCATGGTCTGAAATGTGGTTATTAGGGGTGAGTAGTTCTAGGTTCCTTACAGGTTCCACCTGGAATCTATCCTCGGGTACAGGTTCCTCTTTTTTTGGAACCTGGAACCTAGAACCTACCCTATCACGGGCTTCAGGGTAAATTCCAGGATCTAACAGGTTCTTTTTTTTTAATTTCATTTTAGTCAAACAAAAAGAAAATGAACGCAACAATAATGAACAAGCTTGTCATTTACTAAAGAGAATACAAAAGACTAGTTTTCCTGGCATTATGGTTAAAATAAATACAATTAAAATGAGAAGTCATTACGTGAATCAATACTAGGGGTGAGCGATTTCATGTTCCGTACAGGTTTCACGTGGAACCTACCCATGAGAATAGATCCCTCATTTTTTGGAACGTGAAACCTACTTTATCAGGTTGCAAGTCAATTATAGGGTCTACCCAAGTTCCACCTGTATTATTAATTGAACAATTGCAGTGAATCATCACCACTTGCTGCTATAATCCACTGACCATAACTTATATTCAGACGCACGAAGAATATGAAATATTAACGAGTCATAAAATGGAAGCTCAGACTAGTGGTTCTAGATTATACACTCATTATCTAACACCATGAAACACCGCAGGATCACGCGAAGACATAAACAAAAAAAAACCACAAAAAACTTGTTTGGGTTTCAAGTTTCACCTACCTAGAAACTGAAACTTATCCATCGAAACAGGTTCCTCAATTTAACTTGGAACCTATCCTGCATATCTTGGAACCTGGAACCTGCAAGTTCCCAACGGTCAGGTTCTCAGGTTTCAGGTTTCGGGTTCTACCCTAAAACCATGCTCAACCCTAGTGGTCACAATGTCCTTTTCCCTATCTCCTAGAGAAGACGCAAGCCATCTTAGATGCGCAAGAGTTAGCAGATAACATTGGAGTTGATATAAATATTTGGGCAGCCCATAAAGCAGCATCATTCTCATTCTTCATCATTCAAGCAGACTTTGATTGAGCCACAATGAGAAGATAAACTTCTCCATCTTCCTAATACTGATAGTCTCTGTTATTATCTCTAGAATATCGTTGTCTTTGCATTTTGCAGCAAGTTTGAGCACAATCTTTTAACTTCTATTCAAGCTTTTTTGAGAATGTCCTTGATGATTTTTGCTTTTCATTTTGTTAATGGCAGCTTCTGAGTAATATATCCTCCGTTGATGACCTGAATTATCCAGAGAAGACGGAAACGTACTATATTGTTAACCCACCTCGAATATTTTCAGCTTGTTGGAAGGTTGGGTTTGGTTTGCATCTTTATGCTTTTATGCTTAGTTCTGGAGAATTTTGATTTCCTATAAGCTTGAAGTTTACTATGCACTGAAATCTTTTTACACTCTAAGATGAAAATTATTGGCAGGTCGTGAAGCCCCTTTTGCAAGAAAGAACAAGAAGGAAAATTCAAGTGCTGCATGGTTGTCCAAGAGACGAGTTACTGAAGGTTATTCTTTTGCAATGATGCAGATAGCGAGTGTTTTCTGTTCCGTCACTGTATCTCTTTTATATTTCAAGTGCCATAATCACTGGTGTGGTAGTCCCCTGCAGTTTCTTTTCTTGTCCATCATTTGGGCACATAACTTCACTGTGTAGAGCGTAATTAACTACTGGCGCAGGGGATAGATCACTAGAACCTTACTCACCAGGGAATTGCTCTAAAAGCTTAGTCTAGCTACCCAGTGCCACCTCTAAAATTTGTTCCTTACTAGACTCTCCCCATACAAGTGGTTCCTTGTCTTGCTTCCTAATGTACGAACAGATTATGGCTGATTCCTATCAACATGGTGCGCCTCCTTGGTAGGGGGGCACGTAAGGGCCGTGGAGGCTTTGACCGAATGAATCGCTATAGGGATTCCTGAGAGAATTAGATATATAGAATGGATATTTGTCATTGTGGTAATCTCAGTCATGTAAAACTGCATCTGGAATAAGCTGATGGGGACGTGGGTTCTAGCACTTTAGATAATGATCTTGATCAAATGTCGCTCACTTCCGAAAAACAACCACAATTCCGAAAGCTGCATAACTCATATCATGTCATATCCTGTGTATAGATGAGTTCCACTGCTGAAAAGGAGTATCCTTATAATGTCGCTTGTTATCGACAAAACCATTATGTTACCTCCAGCTGAATTAAGTCGCGATAATGATGTTTATGATAAAAAATATGCTCGTCTGTTCTGCACTACTTTTATTTGGTATAGACTAATCTTTTTGTTTCCCCGTTTCAGATAATGGATTACTCGTCCCTACCCCACTTTTGTAAAAAAGAAGGCTCTGGATCATCCCAGCGTTCTGAGAACGGGGTGGTCAATAACTGTTTCTCCTTTGATCACGCCTTCCATCAACAGCTCTACAATTTCATGAAGGAGCAAGCCCTGCTCATGGAGTCGGTGGCTCCGATAAAGCAGGGTTCCTTCCAAGTTGCAATTCCTGACCCGGACCCAGAAGATGTGAAGATCACTCGGACCATAGAATCGACGTTCCACATGTTTGGGAATCAGAATGGCCTTGTTAGTTCATTAAATGGACTAAAAGTATTTGGTAACTGAAGGCTGGCTTCTGCTGACTACACGCCTCCGGAGGCTTATGTTGCAGAGAAGATGCAACGGTACTAAAAGAAGTGCCCCTTTCTATTACAAGAGGGGCTTTTACTCGGTATTACGACACTTATTCGCGTTTGCTCGATGCAGGCTTTGTAGGAGAGACCTTGTGCATCACTGCTTGATATCGTTAACTAATAGTAGTTGACCCCCTTGATTTAATTCTAATGATGTAAAAGCTTGCATGCGGCATTAGCTGGTATGTGTCCGGAATCATCAAAGCCTTCCTGATAGTGCCTTTCCTCCCAAAAAGTGAAGGATAAGAGATCATGTTGCTAGCGACTGGCGAGGCAATATTTGCATTTCCTTGGTCCTGGGTGGCTAATATTCCAGCACAGTAATATTATGCTATGACAGTGTAAAGTCCTTTACTATTCTCCATCTGAAGCTTAATGCAGTAAGAAGACATTTTTACTTACGTATTTCAAATCCAGTTAATGGAGGTATCTATAAGACTAAAGTCAACAGGTGAAGGAACACTTTTGGTCGATACTGCCGAATTGCTGTATGATAGGACCTGCAAATGAGAACTGGCTACTTTTGGGTATTTTGGCTGAGATGACTGGCCTTATGCATCACAGCTCAATATGTACACGAGTCGATCTGCATTCTTAGGTGCCACTCTCCAAGCTCTGAAATGCTTCTCCAATCACTTGCATTTGCAGCAAGGAAGATAAAATGCACCATCTACCGTTTGAAAACTAGGCTTCAGCTCATTTTTAATGCCCTAAGATTGAGAGAAGATCCGAGGCTTATCCGGGGTAAAGCGAAAGCGTTCGAAGCCATACTCAAAAAGAGGACCTGTGCATAAATAAATCCGAGCCTGGGCAAAATATAACAAACAGGCAGGACACGCCTTTCTCATATCGACCAAGTAACACATAATATCAATTATTCAAATTTACAAAGTTAAATTACAAGCCAAAAGCTACCTAAAGCCAAAAAACAAGCAAGACCTCTGCACACAAGGGGGATGGGGAAACCCCTAAAAACACAAGGTAGAATTATGTGCATTCGATATTTAGGACAACAGGTTAGAAGGACCATAGATAAATCGAGGCCATTGGAAATGAAGGATCAAGCCCGCCCTTCTGACCCTGACATGTACAAATATGTGATCCCACTAAATACTGGAGTGGAAAATCCACTGACGCATTTCATCATGAAGCATGGAAGATTAAGTAGACACCCTATCATAATTGTTTATAGCAGCTATATGCAACGGCAACCGACGCTGCAGCAAAAACAACAGCGAGTGCTGCATATGTATCTTCCCGCTCCCAACTCTCTAACCAAGTTGGCATTGAACAGACTTTACGTGCACCAACGCTTTTACCACTCTTTGTGCAGGACAACTTTTTGCCAATCTTCTTTCCAGATGCCACAACCTTCTCATCTGTCTTCTCTGATAAAAGAGGTTGCTGACAACAAGATGAGTTCCCATTTCCCTGGCAACAAGGCATAACCTCAACAGGAGTTTCAAAAACATCAGTCTTTTTCCTGTCCATCCATGTCCCTGTTAGCTCTTTGCCCTTATTCACAGTCATATCACCATCTAATTGGAACCTTTGCTCATGTAACTTCTTCTGTGCATCTTCTGACAAACCCATTTGGCCCCTGTAGGTAGAGGTTAATCTTTTGTCAACTGTTTGATGATTCAAACACATTCAAATAATAGGGATGAGCTCAAGAGACGCTGCATCGGACCCCAACAATAGAAAAAGGGTCCTACTGCTGCACATAGCATGTGAAGTTCTGGGAGTTGAAGAACCTAAGAACCAATCATATGACAGAGAGGTAAGTGCAAGTTCTGCATTCTAACTTGTGCAGGAACTTCCAGTTAGCGAGGATCCACCTTACAAATATTTTAGAGTATCTCCTTTTTCTTCTAATCAAATTCCAACTCAGTAAGGAGACTTTACGCAAAGCTCTTCCTAGAGAAAACAAGGAAGCAGACCGAAAACAGCGCGCCTCAAATTCTGGAGAACAAGAAAATCAGCGCAAGATAGAATGGCAGCCTAAAATTAGAAGGAATTAGCAGCATTACCTCCACAGCCAGTCTACTATTTTCCCTTCCCCGATATGTTGCTCCAACAATATGGACACATCATCTGGAGATACATATCCATACCTATACCACATTTCAGAAAGGAAAGTTGGGATGATATAAGTCCAAAAGCCCATAGTCATATAAAAGAGCACTAGCATCAATGAACCTACCAATGCCCTGATATGGCTCCACTAAAATCTGGTCCAAATATTATGACATTTCCAGCGTACTCATGACCTCCAACGTGTGAACAAGGGCTAACAGTAACTTTACCATGGAGACCATGCAACTCTATCTCTTCCCTGAACCTACTAACAAGAGCAGGTCCACAGACTCCACAACGACGATCTCGTGATCCATGGGAACATACGAAAACATAAGAACCATTTAGGGATTCGGGTGTTCCAGGAAGCCATTCACCATCTTTAACGAGAACTTCTTCAACAAATGTATCAACATCAAAATGTGTTAATCTCCTGCATTCTCAGCAAATGTCGGTTCAGGATGGAAATAAATAAAGGTAGCTAGAAGGAAATTTGAAGAGTGTCCGAGAATAGTTCAAACCAGATAACCTAACTGACCTGTATCTAATCATGTCTGGAAATATCAACACATCCCCATTTGATGTCTCTGTACCATCATGCCCCTCACAGATGGTTAAGCGTGTCTTTGTTTTGCAGGGAGAACGAAGAAAGGAGAGAGATTGTATCAGCAACAGTAAATGAGGAAGAGTTAGAAGTCAAACAGCAAGCAGGCAATATTCAACAGGCAAAACTATGTTGATTAGTGAACACAAACAACTCTGGTTTAATAAAATCTAAACCACCAGTTGTCAGCCTCATTTACTTGTTTGACGTACAACTACACTGCAACAGCAATTAGGATCAGACACAACAAGTTTGAGAAAAGCCTACTGACTTTTCAACTACATCTCAAACCTCGATGTAGAAATACTAAAGGAAGAAACCGAGCACCTACAAACAGGGTGTCTTACGAAGCATGCTTTGCGCTCACACACATGAGAACCCACAAAAAAGCCATCTATTGCCCCAAACCTACAACTTTACATTAGTTAAGCTCTAATATGTATGTAGAGCGGTGCGAAAAGTTTAAGATTTAAAAAAAAAAGGTTATGAAAGTGAAAAAACTAGCAGGAGACGGCCACCACTTGTAAGATTTCTTCCTCCAATCTTCAACCTAATAGATGATGACAAGGCATCTAATAATCGTAGATCATCAGAAAGAAACCATGTATGGTCATCCTTGTAGGAAAAATACAAGATAAGCTTAAACCAAATAGATGGTAATTAACCACATAGATGGTAATCACCCAAAAAAATTACTTCTATATTGATCCCTTCCAGCAAATACTCACTGTCAAAAGAGCTCTAAATTGTCATCTCGAATTATCATTGATTAGACCTTCATTACACTTAATAACGGAATCAATTTTTGAAGATCAAATCTAGATAGCAATAATGTTGCTATCTTTTGCAACATTTTGTTGAATGCAACAGAAAAGCCTACATTAACAGAACAGCAGACCAAACATTCCCTCGTGATACCTTGACTGAGCAACTAAAACTATTCAGAACGTTCTGCCAAAAAAAAAAAAAACTGAAAAGAAAGAACCTCTTAATCTGCTCAACATTTAATAAGTTATAACACAGTACCTCACGGATTTGCCAATGCAATAATCAAATTATATTGTTGCTAGTATTCTTATACTACAAAGTGGTGATTCCAAGAAACTTGAAATGCGAAAGAAAAAGAAAAGAGGAGAGACAGGTCTTCATGTAAACACATTGCCTTTCCTGGACAGTTGCTTCCTTCTAGGGTCAAAAACCATCATCAATATCTGCAACCACATGCTTTCCCCTCGTCCTCAGGTTAACTCTAAATCTGACCTTGAGGTAGCATCATAAAAGACTCCAGGAGTGAAGCAACTAAATCTCTTTCCTTGAATAAAGTGCTTACACCAGCCAATGTTACCCGCCATCCAAAACCTAAATCTTACTTCCTTAACTAATGTACTGCCATCAATTCACATTACTAGTTAACATTAGGCAAGTATATGATTAGCAGGGTGAATAAAACATAAGAAGATCCTTTATTGTTTAAGAAAAACCATCACGCATGATGACACAGATCAGCAAGCTCCCATTTTAAGACAGCTCTATCTTCTGATAGAATAAGCACATGAACCTAGCCACGTCAAGCTAATGACCTGTTAATGCCCAAGTGCACAAGTAGGCCTTATTCAAACCCGCCCAATCGCCCAAGAATAATCCGAAACCGCTAACTAAATTCGAAGAACTGGAGCTAAGTTCATTTGATCACACGACACGATGAAACTTTCTTTGATTGAAATTGACAAAAAGCAAAGAAGACAACCGCCAAAATTGCTAATCAACCCCCCACGACGCCAAAATCAAACTTCTCAACATCACTTGCCCAACCAATCTAAACATCCATCTCAAAACCAAAGAATCAAACACACCAAACCAAAAACAACTCAACCGCACACCCCTTTCGTTTCTCTCAGATTTAAACACACACAAACACTTGAGAGACTACCTCGTTCCTCATGTCATTCTTCCTGGCCACGACGGCGGCGGAGAGCAGCCTCGGCAGCCGGTCGAACTCGGCGGCCTCGATCCTGGGGGGCCAGACCTTAGGGTTCTTGTAGCACAGGAAGACGTGGCGCTCGTAGAACTGCACGGTGCCGGCGAGCTGGTCCTGCCGGAACTCGGGGCGGGAGAAGCCGAGCTCGGCGTCGCTCCCGCCGCCGGCCGCCTCGCCGCCGCCGCCGCCGCCGGCGCCGAGGAGGAGCCCCTCGCTCTGGAAGCTCCCCGGGGCGCTACCGGAGGGCTCGGCGTAGACGGCGAGGGGGTCGGAGACGGTGATCGGAGACGACGACTGGGAGTGGTTGGCGGCGGCGAACGAGGAGAGCGCGTCCTCCCTGTCTCTGCTACTTGTGCTGGCCATTATAGAGAGAGAGAGAAGAGAGAGAGTGTGTGTGTGTGTGAGTGATTTTGGATGTGGAGAGAGAGAGAGAGAGAGAGGGAGAGGCGTTATCGTGCCGCGACGTTTTTTCAGGGGCTCCGGCCACCGACGGGGGGGACTGGGGACACGTGTCGAGCAGGGGGGAGACGGGGACCTATTTGACCCGACCCGACCCGGGGAAGGTTTGGTTATGGGCGAAAGGAGAGCCTGGTAATCTCAATGTTTTTCGTGGCGAGGAGAAAGTCATATAGTTTCCCTGAGGAGAAAAAGTGCGCTGCGATGATTATCAATCGGTCCTTTTTTTCTCGGCGAACTTTTTATTTCCGGAAATTTAAAGATATTCGCCTTTTTAGGGACTTATATAAAGAAAGTTGCCTTTTTAGAGACGAATTTTTTTGGATATCAGTCTAGATTTTGAGAATCTATTGTTTCCAATGCCAACTATACTGTCTGCGTAGCGCATCCTCTAGATGTATGTTAACGCGTTAGTTACACATCTCGTATGGTTTCCTCTTCAAAATTGCAACTCGAGGGATATTTGATTTTGAAGAATCCTAACTTGGGTGACCGAGATATAAAGATTTTACATGCAAATTAAGGGGCGGCAGCTGTCGTCGGCCTCCCTGCTCGGGGTGTTTCTATGCTGTCGTGAGCGTAAATTTCAGGGAAATATTGTGAGTTCCGTTTTTTTTTGCCAGAAGTCTCTATGTTAAAATGAATGGGGAATGAATAGTAGAATGGTGACGGCCGATTGGATGAATCTTCATGGTTTTAACCTTTCCCTCGTCGAGGAAATTTAAAGGTTTGTGTACACAAATGTGTAGATATGATCATTTTCTGGGTATACTTTTGTTTGCGGGAAAGCACAAATGTTGTTTCAACTATATGGCGATCGATATCGATCGAGATTGTTCGTCCAGTTCAACTCTTGCATGTGCTAGAAGAGATCCCCCGTTTGATTTTACACCACAGCATGAATAAGAGGGATTGCCGATGGTACAACCACGAAATCACAAATGACAACCAGCAAAAGCTATCACAAAACGAGCATTGTCAAGACAGATACACATGAAATTCTACCACAGCGAATATGTACGTTACGAAAGTAATAGAGAGTTACCACCTGAGACAAGGAAAAATCTGAGAGCTTTGTGCACAAAAGCACGGAAAGAACCGAGCTTGGACTTGTCACTAGGGTCATCACAAGGGCTTACTTGAGCCTCGATTCGCCAAAAAGGTCTTCTCTTATGAAAAGTAGACTGCTACAAGGTTGAGATGATTACGCCTTATAGTTTCTCCTTGAAGAGATGGTAGCAACTAACATATGTAACCCATCTGCAGTTTGAAACACATGATTTTCACAAACTCCTACCCACACAACATCACAGTTTTTCATGTTTCCTTCCAAGCCAAGCTTCTATGAACCACCAAATCACTCCCATACTCAAAACAGAATTCTGCCTTCACCAATCTCCAATGTACAAATGAAGAATAGCCAAATATCCAAATATCCAAAAGCAAAATCACATGGGCTTCTCCCCAGGCAAATAAGAAGGAGACCCACCCTCAACCTGGCTCTTTTTCCTTTGAAAGATGCCGCTAAGATTAGGCATGAGCACCTTCTTCGAGACAGAAATCTTCTTCTCCTCTAGTTTTTTTACCTCCATAACTTTCTCAGGAAGGTTCTGCTTTTGAATCCTAAAATGTTGAGGAGATTGCTCGTATGACTTCTCCGTATCGGCTAAAATTCGGGAAGCGGCATCAGTAGCCTTTTTCTGTTCTCTTTCACGCCACCTCCTAAGCTCCCCCTCCACGGCTTGCTTAGCCGCTTCAGCCATCTCCGCCCTCTTCAAAGCTGCCTCAGTTTCACACTTCATATCCTCGATCTCTTTATGAGTTGTTTCCAATTTCTTAAGTGCCTCAAATTCACTTGCCTTTACAGCTTCCGCCTGGGCCAAGGCAGCATCAACCTTCATTTGTGCTAATGTATCAGATTCCTCAACTTTTCGGCTTAGAGATTCAAACTCTTCCTTGGAGATTGTGATTTTGGCACCAGATTCGGAAGTAGAAGCACGAGCAGCGGTTCTTCTTTCAGATAAATTCTTGATCTGATCAAGTGCGCTAGTTTCTGCAGCTTTTGCTTCTTCTGCTTCTTCGATGGCAATTCTCAGATTCATCTCTGCTTCCTTGAGCACGTCTTTGGTGGCTTCAGCTTCCTTTTTTAATACCTCAGCTTCATTTTTCATCTCCTCTGCTTCCTTACGTGCGTTTTCTGTTTCCATTGATAGCTGGTGAAGGGTGGCAATCATTTCATCAGAAGCCACCCTTGCCTTGGATTCTTCAGCGAGGCATGCCTCCAGTTCAGATTTAGTCTTTCGAAGCTTGACATGCAGACTACCAACAAGTGATTCTGTTTCTGCTTCCTTTTGCTTGAGCTCAGCTTGTTCTTTCTTTACATTTTCTATCTCCTGCTTAAGAGACTCCAAAAGACTTTTAAGAGAGGTTTCCTCTTCTGCAACCTTCTTCAGTGATCCTTTAGCATCATCAAGTTCTGATGTGACAGTTTTCACAGACTCTAAATCAGAAGCTTTCGCATTTTCCATTTGCTCTTTCAGAGAACCAATCTGGTTCATTGTATTGGCCAATTGTTCTCCAAGGTCCTTGGCCAATTGAGGATCAAATTCCTTTTTCAAAGCAAGCAACTTATTCGCTGACTCTTCCAAGGTAGCTTTGCAAGACTGCCTCTGGATGTCCTTCTCTGCAAAAATCTTGGCTTGCTCTTGCTGTGACTGAAGGGTAGCAAGCTTCACTTGCCCAATTGATTCTTGTACGGCTGAAATTTCCTTGGAAAGCTCACCAACTCTCTCCATGTTTGCTTTGGCTGCATATTCAGCTTCTAGCACTTGCTTGGAGGCAGTAATTTTCATCTCCACTGCCCCATCGTGATCCTGACGAACTTTCCTCAATTCTTGCTTTGCAGCATCAAGTTCTGTAATGAGGTTGCCGTAATGTTCTCTGGCACTTTCTAAGTCCTGCTTCCAAGCCCCGTCAGTCACAGAAGTGCCACCGTCATTTGATCCTTCAAATTGCTTTGCTTGATTCTTTGCCATCTCTGTTTGCTTAATTGCTAATGTCTTGGATTCATTCACTGCATTTAGCTTATCGGTAAGATCATCCAATGTTCTCTTAGCCTTCTCAAGTTCCTCAAGTACCTGAGATTTTGTTGTTTCAGCATTCTTCAATTGTTCCTTCAACTTGTTGAGCTCCTTCTGGGTCAGGTGAAGTTGGGTCTCCTTGGCCAATACTCTCTAGAGTGAAACACAAATAGCAGTTAATATAATATAACCTAAAAAAGGAGTAACAATAAGGAAATTGCTGATCTACTAGTTGATCAAATAGCCAGTGACAAATTGTAACCCAAAAACCGCAATTGGAGAAGAAATGTGAAAAGGGCTCCACAAGCCAAAAGATACAACCAATCACCATGAACAATTGTGCCTGAGCACAAACTTCATATTAATAATGTGTTCACGGTCTTCTGCTTTCATCTAAATCTAGAGGAAGCAAAGCCAATAAAAAATATCCAGCACATGTCACATTAAAATTCTCTCCCCCTTCTCAATCAGAAGATCGCTAATGCTACACATTTTTTCCCGTGATGTAAGCTGGCCAGGTATTTAAGATTTTTGTCCGCAGTCTCCTACCAACAAGAATATCCAAGTATTTGGGCCATATCTATAAATCTAGAGGAACAATCAAACTCGAGAAGAAGATTCTCTTCTTACTTTTGCCATTCAAATAATGCAGGAGTAACATCTATTGAAGAAATCCCAAGTAGTGCCCTATGTTCTGAACAAGTGTCAAACCAAGTAGCAAAGTGCAATCTTATCTCTCTGACGCTTTATTCTGATTAAGCGAAGATAGATAGTTTGCAAAAGGAAGGTGAATTTGAGCACTACTTCTGGGGAAAGTCAAGGAACATACAAAGACCAACGGAAACCCATACCTAGAGCGGTCAAAGGTGCAATAAAATGGATATCCCTCTTCCATTCGAAAGGGGAAAAAAGGGCATCTATCCCAAGACAAGGAAACAGCTAGATGACATTAGACCCCTACGAGAAATGTGTCGTCAAGTATCTTAGTAATCTCAGAAGTAAAAACCTATAACTCCTAGATCTTTTTGAGGAAGAATATGTGCATTTACAAAATTCTGGAAACTGAGAAAACAATCTATAGAATAAATTTCATTACAAACGACGTGATACAATCATGAGAATGGGAGCATCAGCTGTGCATGGACTTATCACTACATTTAGAGGAACTATTCCATTAACTAGAGCTCATACAACAAGGAAAATATAAAGCAGACCTCCAATGGATGCATGATAACAGTTTTTCCCCAAAGAGAGAAGAAGGAAGGAAATAACAAAAAGTAGCTGAATCCCTAAAACACTTCCTAGAGCATGGTCATATCAATTTACCTCTGCAGAGAGGGCTTTAGGCTTCTTAATAGCTGGCTTTTCTCCTGAGAAAGCACCTTCACCGAACATAGTCACCGCATCTTTGACAGATTGAAATGGTGCCCTCGTGTCTATCTCCCCCACCTCCACTTTGGGAGAGCCTGTAGTTTTTTGTCGATCTTTTGCTACCATTTCACTTTAATATTACTTGGTTTGTATCTTTGTGAACCACCTGTTTGGTCCAATCATAAGAGATATATATTAATAAACCAATTTAGGAAAGGAGGAGAGGGGAAGGAGAAACCGATGCGATTACTGGCCGTATATGACCCGGGCTGAAATTTAAAATCAAGCCAAATTTTGCCATCAGGGAGAGGCGCACCAATGTTAGTCTACCACTAAATAGCGCATTTGAAGGTATGAAGCAAGATGAAAACTAACACTAGGTTAAATTCAAAAAGAAGGAAACCATCTCAGACACGCAAACCACACTACAGCAAACAAAGCAGATTGCAAGATTGTAATTGTGTAGACAAATTTATTTTACACCCAAAAGAATCTCTCACATGCTCATGACTTTGCCTTGCATAACCACAACGAAACTTTGAATGTATCATCTTTAACAAGTAGCAACCAAACGACAGCCCAGAGGCCAAATGAAACAACCTTTTAGAATCAGCTACATAAGCAACAGTGAGCATCACAGCATAGACCTATGACAAGTCAACAATTTCAGCCAATAAACACATATACTGTCTAATGTAACTTCAGAGAGAAACGCCAGTGGTGCCAAGAAAGCTACCCAGCTTCCCTCTTCCCTGCCCCCCGAAAAAGAAAAGAAAAAGAAGAAAAATAATGCAAAGGTTGACCTGGACAATCAGTCAATGATGAACAATTGCAGCTAAATTACTTATCATCCCACAAGATGTATATACTAACTAGCGCATGATGGGACCACAACCACGCTGTATAAACCATTAGAGAAGGAAAGTATACGCTCAAAGCTCTATAGAAAATAAAAATAACAAAATTTGGAGTTTGCTATTGCGCCTCCCGACTACAAACCACAAAGATGGACATCTCGCAGCAAGGACTCCTAATTATCCAGATATATATATATATATTCACCGGGACAAATTCTCAGCAAAAATCAAAATTGGAATCGTCAAAGTGGGGAAACCAGAAATGAACTATTTACACAGCACAAATCAGTCTCGGGACACCGGCCGGAGCATGCTGCGACGGCGGAAGTACAACAGGAAAGAAAGAGAGAAATTTACGCCCTAACAAGAACTACCCGATAGAGAAGACGCCGCTCGCGCAATCAGTGAACCCAATATACCTGCAGACGTAGCATAGTCAATCATTACAACCGAAAAACCTTCAATCGAGATTATATAGCCCCAGTCCCTACTTCCAAAGAAAGCAACTTCACGATAACACGATCGGAAATGTAAAAGATTGAAAAAAACCAAAAGAGATAACGACACCGGCAACAAAGAAAGAAAAGGAAAGAAAAGGAAAGAAAGAAAGCGATGCGGAGCTTCAAAGTTCAAAACCACATATACCTAACAACAACAAAACTCCAGCCCCGTCCCGAACCGAACCGAAGCTCACGCCATAAACCCTAGGAAGCAAACGACTCGAAGCCGAGACGAGAAGCGACGCCGACGACGCGTCTCCCTCCCGACGCGGGAGCCCGCGATCATTTCCCCAAGCAGCCCCGCGCGCGCGCCTCCCGATCACGGCCGGGAAACGGCCTCCCGGCGGCCTCGACGGAGGGAATCGGAGCCGGCGAAGCGGGAAGCGCCAGAGCCGGCGAGAGAGAGAGAGAGAGACAGGGAGAGGAAAGAGAAGCTTCCCCTTCCCTCGCCGGAGAGAGAGAGAGAGGGGCCGGACGTGGAGGAGACGGCGGAAGCGTGGCGGCGAGAACGGTGGGATTTGATTGATCGAATGATTGAAACTTTCAGAATTCAGAGGGGAAATTCAGGAGAGAGAAAGAAGAGAGAGAGAGAGAGCGAGAGAGAGAGAGAGGGAGGTGGTTTTGAAAAATCAAAAAAGCATTACAGGCAAAAAGACTGGTTTTAGTTCGAGACAAAAATTTTGATCAGTAGAGAGAGAAAGATAGAGATAGAGAGAGAGAGAGAGAGAGAGGAGGGGTTTTGGAGAGGGAAAGAAATTGAGCTGCGATCGGGTGCGGCGACCCCTGGCCCTTTGCACCGTTCCGGTCATAATAATCGACGGTCAATTTTGATTCTGGACGTGCGGGCTTGATTTCACGGATAGATCCTCATTTTAAGCGATTATTTCCTTCTCAATTGTCGAAGTTAAAAACAATCGGAAAATGAATGATTTGAGAAATGATCGTTCGAATCGTTTGAAATAATTGATTAATAAAATATGTTTTCATTATCGAAAAAAAATTGTGTCTGAATTTTTTAACAGATAGTGAAAATGTTTCTCATTCGTTCATTTTTGCGAGCGACGGGAATTATCATTTTTAGGAAAATATTTTTCGGGTCGGTCTTTTTCCAAAAAAACAAACACACACCACACGAATACGTCTCGCTACCGACACAAGCCTACAATCGACGGCGATGGTGAGCAGTAACTGATGGTGACGACGGCATCCAGCAACGATGGTGATAGAGTTGGGTTTTATTATAACTTTGCGGAGTTAACGGATGTGAAATTGGAATCAATTTCCGACCTTTTTTAGCAATTTTATTCCATGTGAAATCAAAAGTCACTATTTAAATTTTTCTCTCAATAGAAAATCGGATGCACTAAAACCTCATTCCTTGAAGAATTCGATTCTACCTTGAATCGAACGATGCCTAAAGCCTTTACCTTTTTCATTTTTTTATCTTTTCGGCAAAACACTAGAAAAGATTTCCGAGTTTCCATTCTTAGGGACGGAATCACGCCTTCTCCACCCCCACTTAATCTCTTGACAAAATTAGATTAAAGGGTATGCGATTTGGGCAAATTATAAATCATCCGCAAAGAGGATATTCAGCAAGAGACCACATGTTTTATAAGCGCGCCGTCACCCATTTGAATTTTACAGTCGGTTGGATAAAAAGAAAATTTACGGACCTATCGGGATTGACTTTTACAATTTTTTTCATTTTGCTTGATCAAAATCCGGCAACGCTTATAAATTATAAAAAAAAATTGCTGTTAAATCCAAAACACTCGGGGGCGACAACACATTGATTTTAAAAAAAAAAAAAAAAAAAAAGGGGAGGCGCCACGTCAGCACGCGGCACCGGCCAGAGACAGCTCTGGCTCCTGACGGGTCGCTGTCTAAAGAAAAGCGGGACCCGGGACGTGGGGGGATACAGAGAGAGAAAGGCCTCGTAGTGGATATCCGTCGCTTACATGCTCACGTGTCGTGCAGACATGTCGGCCCACGGCCCAATGAGATCCGGACACGTGTCCGGGGGTTCCTGGTTAGCTGCTCCTTGTCCCGATCCCCGCTTATCTTAATGGGATCGAGATCCAAATTCAATTTCATGGCGCCCCTCATTTTTGCATCGCGTCGGCATTCATTCCCAACCACAAAACCACCATGTTGACTTTGACCGTTTCTCCTCTTGACCGAGCTAGGCGGCGGGAGGTGGTGGTGATTTTGAGATCGATGCGTACGCATCGATTTGGACGCGTGAAGACATAATAATTAGTTTCTCCTAAATTGCCTTGATTCTCCCAACCATCCCGTGTCCCGGTCGGTGTTTTCTTCTTGTGTTTGCCTTTTTGGGGGCTTTGCAGGAACGGGTTTTGTTAACTTGAAACTTTCGAGATACGACGGACCTGCCATAACGTTCGAAAGAGTAGTTGTACCGATCGTACGCTCTCGCTTTTCCTTGAAGAAAAGAAAGAAGAGCTCGGACCAAGATCGAGATTGTATGCACGATGTCGCATTAAGCATTCGATACAGAGAATGGATTGACAGATGTCACCACTTCATTGATTTTGGTTGGGTAAGTAAGAAATTTACATGGCGTGGACCCAAGTTGAATGGTTATAACTGGATATTCAAGTGCCTTGATAGAGCACCGTGTAATCTTTTCTGGAGATTGTTGTTTGTCGATACAACAATACGAGTACTTCCACAAGTTAAATCCGACCATCATTCTCTCTTGAGTTCTCTGTCAAGTGAGAGGAATCCTCGGTCGAATCAGCCCTTCTTGTTTTGAAGCCGCTTGGTTAACGCATGCTTCTTTTAATGACTTTGCTCAAATCCACTGGAATGATGCAATTTAATTCATGTTGCTCTGACCCAACTCCAGAATAACCTTAAGGAGCGGAACGAACACGTCTCCGCAGTATTTTCAGAAGAAAGAAGACATTGTTGGCAAGACTTTGAGTCATACAAAAGGCATTACAGGTACACACAAATCCCGTCTTAGTGAATCTCGAGGCAAAGTTTCAAAAACAGTTACTTAGTCTCACTTCAGGAAGAAATCCACTGGTACCAAAAATCAAGACATTAAGGCTGCGTTTAGTAACTGGCCAAATAGTAACTGATTTTATTCTTTTATTCCTAGAATCAGTCTTGGAATAGAAATCCGTTTGGTAAATTTTTTGTTTCCGGGCACAGATTTGCACAAATTTGTTCCCATAATCAATTTTGGAATAAATCAAGAAGCAAAAAAAAGATGCTTCTTGATTCTGGGAACAAGAATCGGAAATGGAAAAGCATTTTTTTTTCTTCTTCTTAGTTTTTTTCTTTTTCTTCTTCCTAGCCTGTGGCCGGTCGCCGACAAAGGTTGGACCCTTGTCGCCTGGGCGAGGGCCGCCCTCGCTGGATCTGGCGAGGGTGACCCTCGCCCAGGCCGCTAGTCGCCCTCGCCAGATCTGGCGAGAGCGGTGGTGAGGGCCGCAACGCCCTAGCCGACCCTGGCTTGTGGCCGGTCGTAGGCGCCAGCGACCTGGCAATGGCCAAGGAAGGGGAAGAAGAAGAAAAATAAAAGAAAAATAAAAAGAAAAGAAATATTAAAAAATTCAAAATATTATTAATAAAAAGAGTAGAAATGCAATTATTAAACGCATTTCTGTTCTTTTTCTATTCTAAGAATAGAAATTTTGGGCAGTTACCAAATGCCTTTAAATGCTTAGAAATTATTCCCGGGTATAGAATAAAAAAGAATCATTTATCAATAGAAATTGTTTTCGGAAACAGAATGATTACCAAACGCACCCTAAGTGGCTCTAGTTCGGGGATAAAAACATAGTTTTTTCACACTACTACAATCATTCGACGTCGAAGGAATAAAATTGAGGCACTAAAGAATTCTAGTGGAGAATGGTGTCCAACCAAGAGAAGTTGAAAGGCATTCAAGTCTTGAAATCTCTTCACGGAGAATGACCCTACCCCTGTCGTACTTTCACAGCCTCATGGCTTTCAAGTCTTGAACTTTTCGCAAGCTTCAAGTTTGACTAGAATCATCGACAAGGAACAAGTCCACAAAGCACTATTTGATATAGGTCCTTATAAAGCACTCGGACTAGATGGCTTCCAGACGGTTTTCTTTCACTATCAATGGAAGTTGGTGAACAACTCATTAGCCAATTTTATTATTGATGCTTAGTCAAAAAACTGTCGCTGGATTGAGATTAACAAAACACACCTAGGTGTGTTTGGTTCGGTATTTTGAAAACCTCTTGGAGAAATTTTGGGGTATTTGACAACCATTTTTCAATGGGCTTTGGTGTGAAAGTTGACCTTGGAAATGCTAAAGGCTCAATGCTAGTCCCTACTAGCGCTGAGCTTTCAGAATTTTCGGAATGCTGAAGCCTTTATTTAATGAAATTTTGTTCAGTTCCTTTTTTTCTCTAAAAAACTTATTAAAAATCCAAGTTTACCCTTTTTTAAAAACAAAACCCTAGACTTGCAACCACCGCATCTCTTCCTTTTTAGCGTTTGCTCCATACCCTCCCTTTCTCTTTTTTGCGTTTGCTCATACCCTCCCCTTTCTCGCATCTGCTCCAGACCCAACCCCTTTCTCGCGTATGCTTCCTTCACGTTTTTACTCTCGCTCGATGGAGCTCACTCGACGGTGCTCGATCGACCGCACTCGTTGGACGGCGCTCCTTCGCTCGCGACTGCTCCTCTGAAGGTTCAATCTCTCATTCATCTTGTTTTGGGGTTTTTTTTTCACCTTTTTTGGGGAGAAGTTGCTTTCTCTTGGGTGGATCTATAAGTTGCTTTCTCGAGTCACATGTAAGTAGATGACGACTGAGGGTGCGTATGGTAACGTTTTTATTTCTGTGAACAATTTCTTTTCAGAAATAGTTTTTTCTATTTTTATTTCCTGGAAGAGTTTCTGAGCAAAATAATGCGTTTGGTAACTGCACAAAATTTCTATTTCTAAAACAGAAATGTGTTTGGTAACTGCACAAAATTTCTATTCCTGGAATAGAAAAAGAACAGAAATGCGTTTGGTAACTGTACAAAATTTCTATTCTCAATTTTTTGCATTCAAATCTATATCTTTTATTTAACTATAAGTACAAGTTATAAGTGAAAAAAACCAATAAGCATGATTTATTGGTTTGTCTAATCCTTTTTAGGGGTTTAAAACCCCTTTTAATCCCTAAACTAAGGAATCTTCAAAAATACCACTTGGGCACCTCAAAAATTTAAATTTCACTCAAAGTGGGTGGCCACAAGTATTCTAAGCCATTATGTGAATTTTTTTATATTTTTTTGGGGTAAAATTTATTAAAATTTTTTACTTTCCCTAAATCTGTTTCTTTTTATTTTTCCGAAATTTTTTTATGAAATTTTTTAAATTTTTT